ATATATATATATATATATATATATATATATATATATATATATATATATAAATATATAAAGAGCTGGCTTGACATCTAAATGGTCATGTAGTGTCAGTGGATGCTGTGGGAAAAAAATAGAAGCAGAAGGAAATTAACTGATTTTCATAGACATGCCTCTACAATAGTAGCCAATATATTTCTCTCTCATGAATTTTCCCTCTGCAACAGGCACTTGCTATAAACATTATATTTTGTTAAAAGATAGCAGCTGCACGAATGAAATCATACCACAGCAGTTGCCTCACTGTTGTTTGCTTGTCAGTGTGTTTGCTTTCTGGCTTTGCTTGAGTCTTTGGTTGGGGATAGTACATGTGTGGAGCAGCTTTGGGGTCCATATCTATGTTGAAAATAGGCTAGTAGGAAGCTTTTACAAAGCCAGGGAGCTCACTTGTGAGAGGGATTGCTGCAGGTCTGTATAGCACAAGAACAACTACTGTGCTCACTGCAGCATGGCTGCTTCCTCAGGGAACATCAGAAGATGCATCAAGTAAAAACCAGCAAAGTTGTATGGTATCTTTCAGCATCACAATGGAGAGAAAAGCTGTATGAAGTTTGAGCCCATCAGGCAAAGTTGTTACCTGGGGTAAAGAGTTTCTGTTTCATCAAGTTCCAACATCAAACACTTCCTACATACCAGGGTGCTAAGCGGAGGATGCATGCTTTTGACATTAGGAACAGCTGATACCAGTTTAGAAGCAAACTGTCACTTATTTTGGTAGGGGATCTAAGTTATTCTAATACTGCCAGATACACTCTGCATCAGTAACCTTAAGATAATTTTTTTAAGTGAGAAAAAGGAACTCCAACCCAGCTGTGATATTCCCAACACAAGAGGAAATTACTGACATGTGTTAGCCTAGATGCTGCAGAGCTGCTCTCCAGTTTGAGTAGAGATCCAGCTGAACAATACAATGCGTCAATGATGACATCATCTCTTTCTCTTCTCTCTTTTGGAACCCAGCTATTTAACACGGAGAGCTGCTGCTGAATTTAGTATTTGTGTCATTATATTCTAGCTTCAAGGACCAAAATGACTCTAACATCTCTATTTTCAGGTAATATGTCAGTGGAAAAGTGAAGCTTTTGTTGCATTCTATCTTCTCGAGTTCAATGGGGGCATAATGATGCTATCCTGCTCAAGTCAATGGTGGACGTTTTGTGGGGTTACAGATCAACAATAATTTCACACAGGAGAGACCAGTGGAATCATGTCGACAATAAAACACATTGATTTGTTGGATTGTTTTGGAACGTAATGTTACTATAGTGCATTATAAACCATAAATGCAAGTAAAATTAAACAAGTATTCTACAAGAAGTAATTTCAACAAAAGCAGACCATTACTACCTTCAGGAGGAGATGATTTATTGCACGTTAGGCCACACTGGTTTTCACAACAGGGAATTAAACACCTGAACAGGATGCAAGAGAATGGAAAAATAGAGGATAGATAAATAATTAGCTTATATGGCATCAGTTTATTAAAACAAAAATGTTGAAAGTAACCCAGAGTTTGAAAAGTATTGTTTAAACTAAATTTAACTAAAGAAATTGCATTTCCTGTGTAAATGCAGTGTGAATACTTATTGCAGAAAAAAACTTGCCGAGAAACAGCTGAAATTAGATTAAAAACATGCTGCAATGTAGATGAAATGGAAGAACAAGCCTAAATTAGCAGAGGAAAACACATATTTGCTGAAATTTGTTTAAATATTCGGAAATTAGCAGGAAAAAAAAAAGGAAAATAGCTAAAAAGCTGAAAATAACAACAAAAAAGGCTGAAAAGAAGCTGAAAGGCAAAAAGAAGCTTAAACTACCAGAAGGAAGCAAAAAGAGTTGAAATGAGCTAAAAACAATTGGAATTAGCTGAAAAAGCTCAAATTAGCATAAAACAGCTAAATAGTAGCAGAAATAGCTGAAACGAGCATAATCAAGCTGAAAGGAGAATAACAAGCTTAAATTAGCAGAAATAACTTAATTATTCCAAATGTGTTAAAAATCACCATAAAAAACGTGAATTTATCTGAAAACAGACGAAAATTGCTGAAAAATCCTAAAAAGGTAGCTGAAAAGGTTGAGCAAGCTTGGATTAGCAGAAGAAAGCAGAAAGAACACGTTTGCCCTGCCTTAGGCTAAAAGAAGCAGAAATTAGCACAAAAGTGAAAATTATCTGAAAAACGCTGACATTTGCAAAAACCATAGTAGTTTAAAAAAGCACAAAGAAGCTTAAATTACCAGAAGGAAATGGATAGAGCACATTTTTTGCTAAATTAGGTTGAAAAAGTTGATATGGGTGCAAAGAATGTGGAATTAGCAAAGAAAAAAAAAGGTAAAAATCAGCATTAAAAAATGCTAAATAGTAGCTGAAATAGCAGAAAAAGTGGAAACTTGCATAAATAAACAAAGGAGCATAACAAGCTGAAATTAGCTGAACGAATTTTGAAGAAGCACAAAAATGTTGTAGTTAGCAGAAAGAATCTGAAAGGAGCACAAAAAGGCTAAAAAAAACACAAACAGCTGAAATGAAAAAATGTTTAAATTTGCACAAGGAAGCTGAAGCAGAACAAAATGTGAAAGGAGCAGTAAAAGCTTGTAAACAGATCTAAAGATTTGAAGAATGTAAAATGAGCTCAATTCATTTCCAATGAGAAAGAAAGTGGCAGAAAAGGCTAAATATTTCAAAAAGCTAAAGTTACACCAACACTAAAGTCATAGCACCTTCTGCTGAACAAACTGAAAGTTTTGATATAAGATTTGTTGAAATGACACAAAAATTGTTGAACAAGAAAGATGCCGAATATTGTAAGGAAGAAGAACGGATCACAATAGTGTGAACGCTTCATAAGCGTTCATGCTTCTGTATCTATCAATCCTGTTCTGTGGTTGTGTAACAGTTTGCACTATAACCTCATTAACACAAGAGGGGAGTGTTGCATTGTTCAGTATGGATGCTGTTCCTTCAACGCTACAGTATATACAGGATTACAAGTATGCAATCTTCTCAGCAAAGACCAGCATACATTTATCAGCGCTTTCCTGTTTGCTTTCATGTGATCAACCTGATTTATTCACTCATAAACAGTCAGTCTGCACTGTTTTCTGACCCGCAACTGTGCAGAGTGGTGAAAACAAAAGGATAGCCTCACGTTTCGTCTTTCAACCAGTCATCCATCCCTGTTGTACCGCAGCTGCCATTAATCTGCCATCAGTGATTAGTACAAGAGCCTCAACTCAACCTAACCTCTCAACATCAAAGTGTGAAAAATAAGAACAAGTGAGAAAATTATACCACTACTCTGTGGCTCGTATTGCATAGGTTGCTTCCAATAAAAGATTGAGTGTATGTGTTCTTCTTGTTTTCTTCTGATTAGAGAGCTTAGCTGAAAGGGAGTTCAGATGTGTGTGGGAATCCTGCTGCCAAGGGTGAATTTGCTACATTACAGTTAATTTGGAGAACATTGTGTTTAAGTGACGAGGAAAAGAATAGGTGCTTATCAAGTCCCTGGAAACGCATTCAGATTAAAGTAGCACTTGTGTCACAGACTACCTGGTTCAGACTCGGCACACTGTTTTTTATCAGTAAATTAAACTGGCTTAACTGTCACTGAAAAAGGCGATCCAATCCTGCACAACAAATATCTCCACAAGCACTGCAGCCAGTGCTGTCAGTCTCCAGAGACATTAATGATAGCTTTACTCGTGCTTCCACAAAGAGGACAATTAAAAAGAAGGAGCTGATTAGGGTTAAAACTTCAATTCAAAAGGGGATGAAGATTGTCATTTTGAGGGATTTGCTTGATAAAAGACTAAATATTCTGTCAGCTAACGAAGCAGCAGCTATTCTTTACTATAATTCAGCCTAAATGCATGAGTTGCATGTGGACTCTGTGTTTCACGCCTTCACTTCTCCATCTCTTTCGAACGTGTCTTCTTCCTTCCAGGGTCTCTGACTCCTTGCATATACAAGTTTCCGGATCACGGGCTGAGCAGCAGTTCTTGTGCGTTAGGCCACGGTTTTACGTCGCTGCCCTCTGCCCTGCTCTCACCTGATGAGGCCTCTGGGGGCCCCAGTGGAGAGCTGAAAACCGATGCCCACAGGAAGAGTATGCGGGAAGCGGAGGATGTCCCCATCATGGATTCTCCACAGATACGAGAACTGGAAATGTTTGCAAATGACTTCAAAATCCGCAGGATCAAACTTGGTGACTTGAAATGACATCTCTTTGTGTTTTTATATATTTATTTTTACATCCATCAATTTTTTTTTTTCTTTTCTGCTGACTATATTACATGAAGTACGTCTATTTCTGTTTCGTTTTGACCTCAGGCTACACTCAGACTAATGTAGGCGAGGCTCTTGCTGCAGTGCACGGCTCGGAGTTCAGCCAGACCACGATTTGCCGCTTTGAAAATTTGCAGCTGAGCTTCAAGAACGCCTGCAAACTCAAGGCTATTCTGGCTAAATGGCTTGACGAAGCAGAGCTGGCTGGTGGTGAGTCACATGTTTCCACTCCATCAAACCCCCACACTGTGTTTATTTACAGTAGGTGTATCTTTATGCATCTCAGTCACATTAAAACTGCATGTTAGACTTGACAGGATATGTACAGTATTTGATAGAAACATGTTATCATAAGATGACTGTTGTATATCTGAGATAAAGACTCATAGGTTGAGTCATTACATTTTTATGGGCTCAATTTAAGTGATTGATTTATTTCGATTAGCAAAACAAACATCTGAGCAGACATATGTCCCCTATATCCACGACCAACTTTAGAAATGTTTATTCTCCTGAAGCTTTCTGAATGTTTTAATTTACTTTTTTTTTTTTTTTTTTTTTTAGGTACTAACTAATATAGCATACAAATAATTAAAAAAAAAAAAAAACTGCTAAATCTATATTTTCCTGGCTGTTGCCAATTCCCCTGATACATGAAATAATAATAATAAAAATGTATAAATGTTCTCTCAGTTGAAAATATTAACAGTAATATGCAAATAATCTGGAAATATTTTTTTGAAACTACGCTAATTTATTCCAGTGCCTAAAAATACACAACTAAAATACAGTATGGTTAGCATATATACAAATAACAATAATAATAAAATAAACAGAAACCATTAAAGCAAAATAAGTACCTTAAAATGATTATGTAATTATCGGGTGTATGGGTCATTTTTTAAACGAACCATAATTACTAACTTTATGGTAAAAATAAAAGTGTTGAAAACACCATGTGAACTCTGCCTATTCTCAAAGTCAATTTTATTGTCAAAACTGCAATATGTACAGGACATACATAGGATTGAAATTCTATTACTCTCAGACCCCTGGTGCAGCAATAACCATTAAAAATTAAAAAGTTAATGAACATTAGCATAAAGTGAAATAATAAAAGTATGATACTTTCCTAAATTGTAGTATAGCAATATACAAATATTTTAAATAGTATATCTATAAAATAAAATGAAGGTCCTGACATTGACATTTGTAGTAAAGTGACAAAACAGCATATGAAGTGAATGTACCCAGTACATTTATGAAGTATTTGGTATTGATTTGATATTGATTGATATATTCTGCAGCCATTTTTATTTCAGATTGTTGAAATTATGTTAATTTTAAAGGTAAACAATCTAAAACAACTTTCTTTGATGCTTAGATGTGGCCCGATAATTTCCTGCCGGATCAATAAAGTTCTATCTTATCTTATCTCTACTCTATAGGAATGTCACAGTTCCTGTATGTATTGATCTGGTAATCTCTAAAGCATTAATCTGGTCAAAGGCCAATGATGTCACATTAGCTAGTAACAAAACATAAGCTCTCCTGTTTGGTTATTTTATTTGCTCTGATACTTTGAAGTTGTATTTTTCTGTTATCACATAACTATGCTAAAAATAATGGTTTATTCTGACTTTTTTTGCAGCTTTGTACAATGATAAAGCAGGAATGAATGAGAGGAAGAGGAAAAGAAGAACAACTATCAGGTGAGGGTTAAGTGTGTAAAACAGTGTGTGATAAGTGTAGACTTGGAAGAGTTTGTGTTTTTACATCATCCTTGGTTTGATCGCAGCCTTGGAGCCAAGGAGGCGCTGGAGAGAAGCTTTGTTGAGAAAAGTAAGCCGTCCTCTCAGGAAATAGCCCGAATAGCTAAAGGCCTCCATCTGGAGAAGGAGGTGGTCAGAGTCTGGTTCTGCAACAGACGCCAGCGGGAGAAACGGGTCAAAACGAGCCTCAACCTGAGTTCCTGTTTGACCAAAATCAGCCCAAACTGCCTCACGCAGATGAGTAAAGCGCAAAGACCACTGACATAATGTAGCAAAATCAGTGAAAAAAAATCCTACCACTCAGGAAAAGTGAAGCCGTAAACATACTGTACTTTTAAAAATAATCCTGTCAAATTTCATTTCAGATGGCTACGAATGTATCAGAACTATTTAAATCAAATTACGATTTACTGTGAATCGATTTTTAACTTATGTACTTGATTTCATTCTTTCCTCAGTATTTAAGGTCCAGCCTTGCCAAGAGCTAAATAAAATAAAACATTTTCAAAAAGGTAAAATGTCAAAGAAAAGAACAGAGGAAAGGAGCAGCTGTCCTGACATTCAGAATGAGCTGAATCTCAGCTGTGGTCTGTTTGCTGTCTGGATACAGGAAGTCCGTTAGGCACACAGAGCAAATGCAATTGTACCCATAAGAACCAAAGTGCTGACACGTGTCCCTAAAGATCTGTGCCTTTCTGAAAAACCATCATCAGCAACGCTGTGCTTCAGCTCGTTTGATTTCTTTGAGAAAAAAAGTGGACATGTTTTATTTGTGTAATGACAATGTTTTTGACATTTAATACGTATTTTCATGTGATTTAGTCAGGTTTTTTGTGTGTGTTCCTGTTTAGTTACGTTATAATGATGTGGAAAGGTATTCTTTTATTCCAGTTTCAATTAAACCTAATTTATTTAAAATTTGACATATTTATTTAAAAAAAAAAAAGTGTTGTGTTTTTATGACTTTTCTTAAATTTGGAGGCATGAAACATTTTTGACAGTGAGCAGATTTGTGGTCATGCAAGATGTTTTTTTTTTTCTTATTTGTGTTGTTGCCACCTTGATAAAGTGTCATATGAAATGGGAAACATGATCCGGTTAAGACCCTGACTTCGGTGTGATGGTTGATGAAAAATGTCTTAATAAAAGAGGAGGGAGCCAACAGACGCCCCGAGTCTGGACTTTATATTACTGCCAGCACAACTTTAGTGCCAACAACTGGTGCCTGCAAGAGCTTGAAATTAATCAACTTCATAAAAATAAGTGACATCATGTTGTCAGACTGAGATGAAGTGTCTTTATTCTTGCCAAAGATGTATTTATGTTGTGTAAGATGCAGTTATCCTCATCTGTTATAATAAAGTGTCTGTTCTGAGAAGTTACATCAGTTCAAACAGTAAATTGAGTTTTATGAGCTCCTGCAAGTATGCCAACTTTATATTTTTTTACAACTTTAATCGAAAATCAATACATACATTAGGAGGACAGAGCGGTGGTGGTGGTGGGGGGGGGGGGGGGGGGGTAAAACTGGCAGAAGCTTGAATTCAGGAACGAGCTGTTTCAGCTGTGACATGTTTGGTTGTGTAATTCAAACGCTGTCAGGAGAAGCGAACGCCTAAAGGTCGGGGACTTCCAACACACTTCCATAAGTGAATGTTGAAAAGTTACTCAAACTATATTGAAGAAAATTTTACTAAGAAACTTGCTAAATGGGTGCCTAAGTTGCTTTGGCCTCGTTGCTGCAGGTTCTGAGGGTTTCATTCTTCATATTTTCTTGTACTTTACATAAGACATAAAAGTGAAAACAGGAAGCCTACTCCCCCCAAAAATAAAAATTACATATTAAAAAGATGTTTACACCCAATTTGCTTTTCAACAAGGCAACATGCATAAACCCAATGAAATGAATTAATTTGAAACAGGCTGCAAAAGTAAATGTAATCAGTTTTAACTTACTTTAAATGTCTGACCTATTTACTACTAAATTATTCAGCCATTATGGGGGAGTGGTGGCGCAGAGGTTAGAGAAGATGGGACTGTGATCAGGAAATCGCAGGTTCAACTCACGGTACCTTAAACATCAAAATGTGTGTGGAAAAGGTGAAACACCTGCCTCCACCCTCATTTGCCCCACTCTGGCCCCCTGAGCAAGACCCTTAACCCCCACCATTTTGCACCCAAAAACAGGTCTCTCTTGAAAATGAATTCTCATGACTCGAGACTACCTGTATAAATAAAGGGTAAATAAAAATTATGAAGATTTCTAATCCTTTTTAGATATTTGAATGATCCCCCCCCCCCTTTTTGTAAACTACCTAAAAATAAACTCAAACTCAACCTTGCATCTCTTGATGCATTCTCAATAATCCAGGTAGAGAAATCTAACACAGTTAAGTCAGGTCCTCTGGACGGATATAAAAAAATTTAAAATGGAACTTATTTATAAGACCGAGTTCACTGCAGCTTTTGGTTGAGAACTCAAAAAGTGACACAATCCAAAAGTCTTTGGATTAAATACAAATGGTTTCAACAAGGTTTTTTTTTTTAATCCGTCCAGAGGACCAGACTTAACTTTGTTAGACCCTAAGTCATGACACACTCAGGTGGTTTACAGATTTTTTGTTGCCATGTTCAGATTATAGCACCAATTAAATGCCTGAAAAGGTCTGTAGTTTATATAAAAGTGGACAAAATTATTGATACTGTACTGAGTATTCACTTAATGTTTTCTGCAGCAAAGGAGATAAACATCCCAAAACTTTTGTATAAACCTTAAAAGGGGGGAGATATCAAAGACTGTCAAAATTGTACCTGAAGAAACTTTATTCTTTATAAAAGCCATAAACCTTTAACAGACAATTTACAATGAAAAGTTAAAAAAAAAAAAAAATATACACACCTTTTAAAATGCAAAATCCTACCCAGAGAACTGCCCTCTGTTATCAAAACCTTCATTCTGCTAATAATTACACTGGACTGATACATGGTTGAGGAGGTTTGATGATGCTTCTGAGCCGTACATGCAAAAGTGACATGTTAACAGATTGTTTTGGCATTAGGATCATATGGAAACAAAAGGCTAAAGAGGGGTATAAACAATATTACAATGAGAAGATGTCGCTAGTCTCACAAAGCCTGAAGCTGCTGATGTTGAACTCACTTTATAGAAATGAAAGTCAGCTTCAGCTCAGGAGAAAAGAACTCTTATATCACAGTGTCATCTTATTTAGTTGCTGTAGCGTGTGTGTGTGTGTGTTTTGTTAGTGAGGCGGCTTAAACTAACCAAAGAGTAACTGCACAGCAGCTGAAAGAGAAGAGGGACTGCAGGAACAGTGCCATCCTACAATCATTGTTTAAATCAAACAACCTAAAAACAAAAAAAATAATAATCCGATTACTCAGTTGCATCAGAAAACTGATCAAAACTCTGCTAGTCTTGCACAAGCTCTAATGTGGGTTTAAATCTTAGCCATGCCTTCCACATGCCATCACAACGTCAATGCTGCTAATTTATTTAGCCAGTTTGCTTCCAGACCAATCTGTCTCTAACAAATTTAATGGTTTACAAATATATATCTCCTCTGAAAAACATCGTAAATGAACATTTCGATGTCCAGTAGTTTTATTTGTCTGGTGACAATCATCCAATTTGTGGCATTTACTCTAACAACCACATGTTAGTATTAACTAAATAACAACAAATTAAAAGTTTTATCCACAAAACAATGCAAGTCTGTTCAAAAAGGGTGTTAATGAAGACAGTTTGCCTCAGAGAATCAGATGGATTTAAATTACCCAAATACGCAAAAGACAGCAGGTAAATGGTCCGAGTAGAAAAAGACAAGTTCCATCTGTTTATTGACAACCCCAAAGCTCTTTTTAATTACCATGTTTCTCATGTAAACTTGCTAAAGAGAGATCATCCATCTTAAATTGCAAAACTAACAAAAGATTGACCGAAAAAACACACAAAAAAAAGGCAGATTCCAAACTCTCTTGCAGCCCTTTTAAAGAGAGAGTGGCAAACAAAGGTGTAAAATTGTGGTCACTCGGGTGTCTTAATAAATATTCCTTTCATATAAATAAATCAGATGTTTTGTCCAAATGAATCTTAAGGCGTCCAGCAGAACGTATATGATAAATGTGTCTGCCTGCATGCTTTTAAATGTGTCTGTTTACACCTGCAGCTTCAGACCAGTGACAGAACCAGTGTGTCTGATAGAGTCCGTATCAGTCAGTATTGAGATGCACTGGTTTGTAACGTGAAAATCACAAAGCAGACAGTTAGTCCACTCCCAGAGCTCGAAGTTGTCTCTCGATCTCGTCGTCAGAGATGGTGGCTTGTTTGGAGGCGGCGGCGGCACCGGGGACGTTCTTTCCTGCAGCTGGAGCTCTAACCATCTGGAATCACACATTGGCAGAAAAATCCCATTAGTTGGCACAGCAACTTCAAAATAAACACACACGGTCGCCGCGCATCAACCTTCTGCCAATCTGAAAACAAATTTTAAAGATGTGGACCTAAAAATGATTTGTGACTCATAAGGCCAGCTTTACACCAGCAGCACCACATGTTGTCTTTGCAATTATATCAGCCAAGAAATTCAAAAAACTGCTCATTTATGGATGAAGACTGCAGACATTAGATGTAGTTCAGCAGCTGAGCAAAGCAAACAAGGATCTTGATGTGAATCAGACTTACTGCACTGCCACAGGAAAACTACAGACACTTTTTGTAAAATATAAGGAAAATGGAACTAAAATGGAAATGGCCTTTTTTAGTTAACTTTCTAAGTTTGTTGGCTAATCAAAACATACCAAGTTTTTTTGCATAATTTACATGCCCTGCGACTTGTAGGCCGAAGCAACATTTATGGATTTCCCCCCATATTTATAAACCAACTTTTGGCTGAGATATGACCATTTTCATTCATTCAGACTGGGAAAAAAAGGAACAGTACCACTTTCAGCCACTAGATGGCAGCAGAGTAGAAGTAGCAGTAAGGCATACCATTGTATCATGTAATAGGTAAACGTGGCTATAATGACAATTTCAAAAAAGTTCAAGACAAAAACAACTGGACTTTTATTTATTATACTTCATTGTTTTAGTCTAGAACTTTTTTTGAATTTACCATGTCCTGGATGACAGAATCTTCACTAGCTATTAATGACACAATCGGCTTGCCATATTACCCCCACCTTCGTTCTGCTCGCTGCTTGGAGCAACTGTCAAACCAGCTGCACCGCCCTAGCGAAATGCAGCTAATTTGACCATTAAAATGAATTTAATAAAAATAATAGTCATCACATTGTCATCACTGTATGTTTCCATACAATGGCAAAATTAGTCTCTGAATTTAACCCATCCACCACCAGGTGGTGCAGTGAGCAGCTATTGAAAGCGCCCGGGGGGCATTTTGGGGATAAGATGTGCTGCCAAGAGACACCAAGAGGTATGCAGTGACCAGGGATCAAGCCTGGGACTTTCAGGTCCCGAGCCAGCTGCTCTGTCTCTACACCATCTCGGCCCGCATAAACATTCAACTGAAATACACCTTTGCTATAATTTCGAGCAAACAAACAATTGTTTAGGTGCTTTTCTTGTTCAATTTCGAAGAAACAAGCAGCGTTCTTCCCTTTTTTCCCTTCTATCTGCACGCTCCCAGAGCACCGAGGCAGCGAATAACTGTCAAATCAGCTGTATTTCAAAAGTAAAGTCCTTTTATTAAGCAAACGTTAGACTGAGACACACCTTTACTATAATTTTGGGCAAACAAATAATTGTTTTTAAGTGTTAATCTTGTTAAATTCTTGTTAAAGTCCTCCTGAGCACGTTCCCACGGCTGCCATTTGGCAGCCCATTGATTTTTGGCACAACACCGGCCCACATTTCCAGGTTGTCAGCGGTGACGCATAATAGATGTGACATATTTATGGATTTTTCCACTTTTTCAGACATATTTGGACTGAGGCGACTTATAGGGCAGTGCAACGTTTACGGTGGAAAATACGAGTAATCACTAGAGCTACATCTACAGCTGATTAACTTTTGGAGTCGACTCAATACAAGATGGCTGCCTTAGCCTCAGTTTGATGACTTTAGCCCCAAAATAGGCTTTAACTTAGTCAAATTTACAAATTGTTTAGATAAATTGAGTTATTGCCAACACAGCTAGTGACATCTTACAAGAAAATTGTGTCTAACATCATTTACAAGGTTTGGCCAAACTGGTTATAACCATGTCCTTTTTTTTTTTGTCAAAAATTACTTTTGTTTAAAAATGTTGGCTCTGAATTTATTCAAGGATGGTAGGCCTTCATTTAAGAGCAACACAAATAGTCCATTATTTAAAAAGAGATGTATGCATCCCTCAGACAGGTGTTTGACCCCTTTTATTTGTTAAGAAAAATAACATTTGTTACTATATATTATCAGTCATAAAAATTACTTCAGCATAACTTTCTAAACATTTGGATGGATCTTTATTTTTATGTGTTGGATTTTCTGAACCATTAGGATTTGTTACTTTAGAACTAGTTGTCTATACTTGCTGTTTGTCTTTGCTGTGGACTGTTTATTGGCCAACATGTGAAGTTGTAGAGTTGTGAGGGGTAATAATTGATGAAGCCCCCCAGGGGGAGCCAGACACATTGCAGATGAGCAGCTAAACAGTTGCAACACTGAACAAAGCTAGAAGAGCTGAAGGCGAGCCCCACCACGTGGCAGCTGGGATGAATTTTACCAGCGGAGTAAAAGCCATGTGGAGCACTCATTTTTCTTATCACTGGGGGCTGCACACTCATTTAAGACCAGATACACATGTGAAATGGGCAGCAAAGCACACATTTTACAGACGCTTTCTAAACGCAGACACAACAGATGGGATTAAATGGACTGCAGTGGTTGGTGGTGTCAGTATTTGTAGTTTGGTGTATATGTAAGATCAGTGTCGATATCTTACCTTCCCTGAGATCTCGATGCCAATCTCATCCAGGACCTGGTTGACAATGTCCTGAGATTCCTCTTCATCCCCAGACTCATCAAAAATCTCATCTAAAGTGTCATTGACTAGACAGAAAGTGACATGGGGAGGGAAAATGTGAGTATAGGAGAGGCAATCGGATATTTTGTTACTTAAAAAGAAACTAATATATACTGAATTTAATTTGCCCCTTTTTGTTTATAACAATACAAACAAACCCCCCCATCCTACCCAAATATACCCTCACAATGTGGTTTTGATAAACACGCAAGCCGTGTGTGCATTAAGTGAACTTACTCATGTCCTCAGTCATGCCCATCTTCATGTTCTCTTTCTGGAAGTCCTGCATGGTCTGCAATGTCTTCTGTGGATCCATTTTCTTATTCACGGCTTGCATGGTCTGTACATGGTATTTATTAAAGAAGGTTAATTTATCCATTTTCCGTTTCTGAGAAGTCAATTTATTTAGACAATTTACAATTCAGTCTCACAAAAAATATTAGTTTGGCTGCCAAAAAGATTTAGATGATTTGGCCTAGATAATATAACTTTATAACAACAAGCATAAACACAAAGACTCATTTATAAATTCTGCATCTCATTCATTTCCAAAAAAGGTAAGCATCAACACCATACTGAAGATCTCACCTGTACTGGGCTGATAAATCTTTTTGATTTATCAGTTTAATGTTATAAAATGAATAAATATCATTCAAACTATTCATTTTCCTTTCAAAAGGGCTGTGTCCATATTTTTGTGTATGTTTGACAACAAACAACTATCGATATTTTCCTCAAAGCCTCACAAACACCTCATCATCGTCCATTAATCTCATGTTTAATAATATCTGCCCCGTCCATGTCTGGTTGAACAGAGCGTCGCTCAAGGACAATTTCTCCTCCTCACACTTCATTAACATTGATGCTGGGACCTGCTTTTAAACATAGATCTTCTATATAGATAATTTGTTTGCAACATTTGAATAACAGCAGGAGTGAAAGAAGTCTGAAAGCTATAGAAGAAGTTGGATTCTGTTTTCTACAAGTTGAAAGGGTTTAAACTGGAGTTAGCACCACGTTAACATTTAAAAGAGCAGAGTGGATTAAAACTTTACCTTAGCTGTAGAAGACATGGCACCAGCCATCTTCATTTGAGAGTTCATGACCTTCGTCTGCGTAGACATGGAGGTAACCTTGGAGCTGACGGCGTACGTGCGGTTCTTCTGCTTCCTCAGCTGCACCAGCTGCTTGGCAAGTATCTTACAAGCCTCACGGTTACCGGACTTTGCCATTTTCTTGATCTCCAACTCCTGGAGACAAAAGATTCACATGAGCACAAGGCAACTTCTCTGTGATAAAATTCATCATCTATGTCTGCATGTTTTGTTTTGTGTTTTTATCTCTACACGTGTTCTGTAAATGTTTTATATGCAGAAGCAAAGTAAACAGCTGGATTATTATCTCCTCTGTGTAGAACTTACAAAAGGTGGCAAAGAAAAAGTGCTCCCAGTTCTAGTTCACATCAGACTGGTTAGTGATGGTAGAGTTTCCCACTTGTGTGTCATCAGACTAAGAAACCAGTTATTCAGTGCTGTGGCTCAAACTATATGCTTTTAACTAAACAATACGTTATATAAAGAGAGATAGTGTTTCTTTCCACCTACCTTTCTTGTATTTGGTTGCAAACAGTATTACCAGTACTTGTGAGACATTTTTCCATTTGTCCAATGAATTAAATGCTGTGGTCACATTTACATTTGTTTCTATTTTTGGAAAATATTTTGGACACAATTATCATGAAATTTAAAATTGTCAAAGTAAGAGTTTTTATTATTATTGTTTATGAATTAAATTATTTGTACACACTTTAGAGAAAAAAAAAAACACAAAAGGCAACTGTACTGACACAAATCCCCACAGGACCCCAGAGAGACCATTGTGTTTGTAAATAGACACAACAAACACAGTCATCCAGATCAAATGTTACTCACTGGCAAGCAAATACATGCATTTAGCTTCAGTAAATATGAGATAGTATGCTGATGCCTTCAGGGATCCTGTGTGTGTGGGCATGAGTGTGTGAGAGCATCCCAAGAGACCAGAATTAATCTGCAGGTTACAGTAAGACTGTCAGTCCTATCAGCACCAGCTTGTGCTGTTTATTTCTTCTGTGAGCTGAAACATCCTCTACAGGAAGTAGCAATCAATTATTAATATCTGATACTGCAGCAGCTATAGGCTTTCAGCACAAAACTCTGCCCTCCTGCCTTTAAACACAAATATCTGCAGCATGTGCTCTGTCATACACTTGGTGCATTAAGCTCAAGAGTTTCAAATTAATGGGTTAGGGCTAAATTTTGAGGAAAAAAGAAATTCTGCACATAAGGAGATCACAGTGCATCATCTAAAAAAATAATAATAATTAAAAAAAAAACAATCTGAAACATAAGCTGGAAGACTGCTGCAGACTGAAGGTCTGTGCATTCTTTAAGTCCCTGTAAAAAAAGAAGTTGGAGTGTGATGGGAGATAATGCACTCAGACATGATGCAATGCAGCACTCAACTGTGAGGTCCATTTCCTTATATGAAATATGAATCTTAATGTACTTACAAAAGCCAAACACTTGAAAAAAAAATAATACAAACTGAACAATTATGATTTTCAGTCAGCTTAAACAAACACATTCACACATTTTCAACCATTAAGGGAATAAAATTAATGCAATTTAATTTTTATTTATTTTTTCCCAATACACAAAGAAACCTAAAATCAGTTGCCAGATTAAAAAAAAAAAAAAAAAAAAAAAAAATAAGAAAAATAATAAGGTCTTCCTTGTTGGTAGCAGAGTAAAAAAGCAACATAGCTGCCAATAAACATCAAATAAATAAATAACAAAATTCACCTAATGTCACTTTTAAAGGCCTTACACATAGACATGATTATAGATGACATACTCTAATATCGTTTCCTTCCCCTTTTAGATTCTATTGAATAAAATATCCTGAGCCATTTTAAATAAAGCATGTGCATAAAAATCTGAGCGTGTGCACATTTTCACACTGGAAGCCTACACAATGAGGGACACATAATTGTGCTAACTTGCAATTATAGGTAATTTTCATTTCTTAGCAAGGGTCTTTTTGTAGTCGCAATGTGCAACAAAGCTTTTAAAAACCAGACTAATTAGCGGAAAGCATTAATGAAGAACAAAAATGGGGTTCCCCGGGGAGGTAATTATGTCCTGTATATTTACTTAATACAACTGAGTGCAGAAGACAAGAGTCAGCTTCTTTCATCTTGCAGAGATGGAAAATGTAGCAGACATTTGTGAAAACAGCCTCGATGTATACTCCACAGGAGCGTGTGTGTCTGTGTGTAATAGTCTCACTTGCCTGGAGCAAAGCCACCGCACCAGAACACTTTTATCTATTCATTTAGAGACATTAACCAATCAGACCCATTCATTGATGGCAGAACGTGGATTTAAACATGTGTTTAGAAGTGTGTCTATGTGTTGAGGAAACTGGGGGGGTCATGATAAAACTTTGATGCAATGGGTAGAAATTTAACAAAAATATTACGCCCCGCACAGAGAAACTTCTGTTCTTTATATTATCTCTGCATGCATGCGTGTGTGTGTGTGTGTGTGTGTGTGTGTGTGTGTGTGTGCAAATTCCAACCATTTGTTTCTCTTGTTTCTCCAGCGCCGCTCGGTCCCTGGTGATCTGTCTCTGAGTGCCACGCAGCTCCTTAGACTGTTCCTTAATGATGTCTTCAGAACAAGCAAAACAATAAGCAGGAAAGATCAGTTCATGCTTTATAACAGACATCATATCCATACACAACACAAAGCAGCAAAAGAAAAAGCTAAAAATGAAGTATGCACAAAAATGCATGGTTTCAGGTCACTTAAACTGGAACATTAACTAAGGTGCATTACTAGTTGGATTTTCAAAAAATATATTGATTAACAACAACAAAAAAACTTTATCTGCCACAACGCAATAAAAAATTGCAGTGTGTTGAGTCAGCTTCAGATTAAAACAAAAAAAGAAACATTCAGCCTGTGCATGTGTGCATATGCATCCTAAATACAGCAGAGTAATCTGCAGCACGCTGAGAAGTTGGACAACTGTGGAACTGTTTGGACATCTCACACCCAAACTGATTCAGTCAGCTGTTTACACCCACATAAACATAAAGTGGCATCATGTGAGAAAATGAATGACCAATCTTTTGCACAATCATCTGTTGCTACTGGTAATACGAAAACATTCCTCTGAACAATGTGTGTATATCCTTTAAAATAAAATAAATTATTAAAAGTCTAACAATTGGTTTTATTTTTTTTATTTTTTTTAGAAAAAGCAGAGATAAGCATCAGCATCTTGGCCAACGGTGTTGTTTTTAAAGTGTTTTATAAATAAAGTTGTATTGTATTGTATCTATTTAAACCATAATAAAATAGTAAACCCAAAAATAATAAATTTACTATAAATCCTAAAGGGATAAATGAACTGCCTTTGGAACAACTGTAGAAGAAAAAAGTAAGTACAAATAAAACCAAAAACAATACAAAAAGGGGAACAAGACAAAATAAATGTGTCTTGTGATTCCTTGAGCTAGATGTGAAGTAAATTAGTACAGGGCGACATAAAACATTAAAAAATAGGATTAGAAAAATATAAATGAACTGAAAACAATTCGACTGAGCTCTCTCTCTTTAAGCTGTGACATAAAATGCTCAATTTATTAAAAGAAAGTTCAACTGACAGAAAAAAAAAAAAAAACTAATTTCCCATTAAAAGTCCAGTAACTGAACTTAACAGAGCAACGTCAGCGAAGTGGACCACTTGTAAGAAAGATACATAAATACGTATAAGGTGACGTGATGCCAACGTCCTAAAGTGGGAGGGATATCGTCCTACAAATATGTGCGATCTGACCCCCCCACCCACCAAACCAACAAAATCTGCCAAATAACCAGACTTCCAACGATTCAGCATTTTTAAAAAAAAGTCCTGTTTTCAGAGTTTAGGAGGATAAAGGGACACTCTGAAAATGAGAAGAGAACTGCAAAAAGTCCCAACTGAGGAAGACCTGAGGATACGGAGCGAAGGTGAGGCAGCACAGTGAGTACACTATGTTGATCGGTGTGGGTGAGGCTGGAATGACAGGGATGGGAGGAGGAAGAGAACAGATATGCTTGTACCGATCAAACCTATTTTTAAACTCAATGCTATATTTTGACATAATTTCCCACTCATTTAAGTTTAAGATCTAGAGAAGGTGGAGGTTACCATTTTTTTTTTTTCCTCTGGCAAATCCATCCTGAGTCACAGTATTCGAAACAGACAAATGGATTCATTAATTTTTAGAAAAACTGTGTCGGATTTTCCATCCAATCAGACTGAATGCCTCGCCTGGGGAAAATACTAAAATATTCATATAGGCTGGCTTTTCCAGAAGTTTGATGTAAATGTTAGCAAAAATTACTTCATGAAACTGCAATGTAAGACTGCCAATGATGTCATTCTCTAGTTTATTATATATTACACAATTGTTTATGACAATAAGTATCATTTATAGTAAATGAGTTGTCTTTAAGTAACTAAAAATAAAGCAATATAGCCAATGATGTAGTGTTTGAAACAATCTGAGTGTTTATACATTAAGTTTTAACCAAATACTTGTTTAACATCTTACATTTCATAGTATGGTTTTAGTTATGCTGTTTAAGTCCAGTTACTTTAGCCAAATACCAACAGATAAGATTAGTTTCATCAATACTGTACGCGGAAACAACCCACCAATGATCTTTGTAACTAGGGTTATGTTTCAATCCCACTACTGCCAAAAATAAATTAGCATGTCCACTAAAACTACTGAATTCGGCAGCGCTTCAATGATTTCTGCCATTCAGTAATGTGACTGGTGATTCAACAACCGAAAACAGGTTAAACAAGTTACGTAGAGAAAGCTAATTTAGGATGGGAACAAGAGTAGGCTGAACAGCCAGGCTAAAAACAAGTTAGCTTGTTTTTTTTACCCTAGCAAACTTACCGTCGACAGTCTTCTTCTTGAAAAGGGACGCCATGTCGCTGCTCTGTGTCTACCTAAATACAAAATACTAATCTTTAATTGATAAACGGTGGGATTCCCGTCGTGAACACCGTCTTTTAGCCGTCAGTCCGGGACGGAGTCAGCTTTAGGATCCTCTGTTTCCTGGTTCACTTTCTGCTGTCGGAGTTCCTCCCTCAGCTGACTGACTCAAACGCTCCACGTGACGTCATGACGGGACCTTTGTGCTGCATTCAAAACAGTAGGATTTGTTTTTCGAAATCAGAATGTCATAAACGTGACATATTCGTTAAATACGTATAATTAGGTAAACCAAAACAACTTAAACAAAAATTTCAGCGGTGCGATTATATTTAAAGTGCACTAGGTGCACTACAAGAATTATATATCTTCATGTAACCCTTGTAGTTGAGGCAAGCTCTATTGTCGTTGTTCCTAGTGAGCCGTTGTTCCGAGTGGCACTTGAAATTAGCACAGCGATCAGAAGGTGTTAATTGATTTTAAAAATATGGGTTGCGAAACTTAAGGGTTAAGAATGTTTTGCAAACTCTAAAAATGTACAACTCGTTTAACCTGTCACTTTATTAATGGTTGCTTTCTCGCATTTCCTTTTTTATTTTTTTTTTTAATTTAATTTATTCAATCGTGTACGTACTGTTATTTTTGACACGTTCGAGAAAAAGAACTAAGACAAGGATGCACAAAAAGTCACGTGGTATGTAACGTGGACAATTTTCATTTTTTTTTTTTTCCCATTCAGACAATATGTGTCATTTAAATAAATTTGGTTGTTGTTCTGTTTCTTTTCATGTGGGATTGGAAACTTGCCATGGGGTGTGACATACTCTCCTATGATTCAATTTAAACTGCATTATTCAAGCAGGTTTACAAAAGAAATGTATCAGATCTCTCGTTTACAAAAATGTACCCATTCACCTAAAGTGCTTTGAGTTTAGCAGGGCTTTGATGATTTGTTACTGACATGACTGGTGACAGGAGCAAGAACTGGCTAAACAAGTTAGGTGTGGACATATAATTTTACACCAGAACAACAATTTGCTGAAAGTCTTACCTAAAACCTTTTTTTTTTTTCCTTCCCATGCACACCAATTTTAAAATTGTATTTAGATACAGAATATATCTCATCCCTTCAAAAAAAATATATATATATGCCCCTCGTGGCAGAATCACAGAATCACTCTCAGTTTCATTCCTTGTCTTTCGATCCCCAATATAAAACAAATCCATTTACTCGTTAGAATTTATAAATTCTTATTTTCTCATCTCATAGTGATGCTGAGAGGAACGGGATGGGACTCTTGAACCATTACCATCTCAGTTTGTCTGAACTGAAGTGCAGGAGGGACAGAAGAGAACATGTCTGATGCAAAAGGCCAAGTTGGAACGTGGGAGAGAAGGGTGACTTTGAAAGAGGATGGGTAGCCCTCAGCGCTTTGTTATCTCCAAGGAGGTGAGTGTGAGCACACAGTTGCCTCTGTGCACCGGCATGTCGTCCTGAGGCATTTCTCTTGTTAAGGTTAATAGGGAAGATGTTTAGCACTAATCAGCGGAGGACTACAGGGACACCCCCTAAAAGGCCTCATCATCAGAGGGCGGTGGTTGTGATAAATGTAGCCCTGAGCACCCAGAGGGCCTGTTGGCAATAAGTATCCATCTAAATTTGTTGCTGCAAAGCAACACCATATAAATCAATGCATGGCGATTTATTCAGTTAACAGATTACTTTCCCTTTTTGATCCCTCGTTACTAAGTTAATTTTTAGGGTTTCTGAGGTTAAATACTAAACATTATAACCTCCATTTTCCAAAAGCATTTTCTTAAACTTCTCCTATTTGAAAGTTATGGATAATGACGCAACATGATTTTTGTGTTATCTGGAAAATAATAATAATAATAACAAGAACAATTGACTGATGAGATGTTTTTCTCTTCTTGTTCATTGTCGTTGCTTCTCTGCACCAATTTGTCTCGTACTTTCTCCACTTCCTTAGTTATCCGTCCATCCGCCCCATTCCCTCCCTTCACCTAGCCCCGAGCAAACGCGTAATGTTATAGCACTAACTATAGTGTGTCGGCATGCCCAAATAGCTGAGAGAGAGAAAAAAACGGTCATGTGTGAAATGAGATCTCTGCACAATCAGGGGGAGCTGCAGCCATAAAGCACATGAGGCTTTTCAGCTTTGAGGTATTATCAACCAAATCGTACAAACCGCCACACTTGATGACTTTGCAGTTGTTACATTCCACTAACATTATTTTCTTCTTTTTACAGTTATGCCTATAATAATGGACATTACTAAAGGAAAATGTCCAAACATCCTCCAAAAATTCCAAGTGATTGGTGCCATCTTTGTGTTCTTGCATTAGAAACAGAAATCTTTGACCCTGCCTTAGCAGGATTGCAGAATTAATTCACAACTTTAAATCCAACACAACAAGACAGCCAATTGAATCACAGATGTTTCTTCTTTTTATTGCTGTTGGCTTCCATATTACAGCAAAACCTAATTCACTGTATGTGTTTATGATTTATTGTTTGCAACAGAATTACATCAAATTTTCTCCAGGCCTCATCTGTGTGTGTGTATCGTATTCCCATATTTTGTAATAAATTCTGAATCATCACAGAATATAACACATGTATGTAATGTTGTATTTTTTTCTTTTTCCCATGACAAGTAACTGCAGGCTGAAATATGTTAGTGTGGAAACACAGAGAGACATGGGACTGTGATGGGAGATGTGGGATTTTAACAGCTCCTCTTCACTCTGATAGACGGCCAACACAAAAGAGACAGAAGGAGGCAAAGAAGAGGCATGTGCAGGAAGTAGTTGGAGAACACAATGGAAAAAATATTAATTTATCTTAAATAAAGTCAGAAATAATATGTTTACTCAGTCTGTTTGCATGCCAAGGAGTGGTTTTGTTATAAATGAAGAACAAATTGTCACCTTGTCACTTATACAACTTGTACATGTTGGGCATAAGACTGTTTAAAGTTGTTCCACATTAAAATCTTTATAAGCGAGGTGTGTATGTTCATTTGCACCTAAAATTACACTTTTACATTGACCAGGGCTGTTTTATCAGCTGTGATGGTTTTATCACACAACTCATGAAAGATGGGCAATCATGCATAAGAATTGCACGTGTGTACTTGTTTCTTTATATATATATATACATATATATATATATATATATATATATAT